CAAAAAAAAAAAATAGTAAGAATAAAGAAATAATAAAAATAAAAAATAGTAAAAATATGGAAATAATAAAAACCAAAAAAGAAATAGTAAGAATAAAGAAATAATAAAAATAAAGAAATTGTAAAAATAGAGAAAGAAATAATCAAAATTAAAAAAAATAGAAAAATAACAAAATAGTAAAAAACAAAAAATTAGTAAGAATAGAGAAATAACGAAAATACTGAAAAAGTAAAAATAGAAAAATAACGAAAACACTGAAATAGTAAAAATAGAGAAATAATAAAAAAAAACCCAAAAAATGGTAAGAATAAAGAAATAATAAAAATAAAAAAATAGTAAAAATATGGAAATAATAAAAACCAAAAAATTAGTAAGAATAGAAAAATAACGAAAACACAAAAATTGCAAGAATAAAGAAATAATAAAAATAATTAAATAGCGTAATTACAGAAATAATAAAAAATAAAAAAAAATAAATTAATATAAAAAATAAAATAATTAAATAGAAATAAAGAAATAATGAAGAAAAACGAAAGACCCACAAAAATACACACACCGACGTGACAACTAAAAAAAAATTCCAAAAATAAACGAGATTTTATAAAAGAGAAACAAGAAAACAAGACACATTTTCATTATTTAATAGATCTGACCTTATTATTAAATATAATGCGGGAGGAAAATTTTCTTATTAATAAACATGTACACACGTATATAGTATATAGGTATATTGTACTCCTTAACCCATTTTCTAATTAAATTAGGCTACATAGTTAATATGTTGTGAGTAATTTCGTAATAATAATAATAATAATAATAATAATAATAATAATAATAATAAAAAGAAGAGCAAAATAAAAATAAAAAAAAATAAAAAAAATAGTACTACACGTATATATATATATACATGCACACGTGGTACATCCATATACTTGACTTGTTATCTGGAGCAGAGTTGTCTCCACTGAGGTTGCGCTGTATTGATCTGACACGTTTTCTGGTTCTATGTTAAAATCAAACTGCTGGAACCTAACAACACACAAACCCAACTATACAATACAGTTCATGACACAAAACACATCAAGAAAAATAAAAAAAAAAAGAAGCAAAAACAAAAAAGAGAAAGAAAAATTATGTGAATTATATGCAAAATGTTTAAAGAATTTTAATATAGTTTCATTCTCCCCCCCCTCTCCCTTTATTTCTCTATAAAAAGAAATAATGAAATACTAAAAAAAAATAAATTCCAAAAAGAGAGAATGAACACTCCCCTCCCTTTTTTTATTTAAACAGAAAGAATAAAATACTCAAAAAAGAAAGAATTAACCTCCCCCCTCTCCTTTTTACTGTCAATAAACAAAAAGAATAAATATAACTACAGAAAAAATATTTAAAAATATATACTCCAAAAAGAGAGAATGAACACCCCTTCCCCTCTCTTACTTTTTATTAAAACAGAAAGAATACAATATACTAGAGAAAAATACTCAAAAAAGAGAGAATGAACCCGCCCCTCTCTTATTTTCTTGAAACAAAAAGAAAATATTACTACAAAAAAATACTAAAAAAAAAAAACTCCAAAAAGAGAGAATGAACCCCCTCCACTCTCTTATTGAACAAAAAGAATAAATAACTAGAAGAAAAAATACTCAAAGAAGAGAGAATGAAACTGTAAAAATAAAAAAATAAAGTTTCATTCTGTTTTTCTTTCTTTTCATTCTTCTTTAAATTCTGTCTTTTTAAAATTGCACTTTGTCATTTTATAGTTTCGTTCTGTCTTTTTACAGCATCATTCTGTCTTTATGGAGTTTCATTCTGTCTTTTTACAGTTTTTTTGTCTTCATGAAGTTTCATTCTGTCTTTTTTAAGTTGAATTTTATCGTTTTACAGTTTCATTCTGTCTTTTTGGAGCAACATTCTGTCTTTATGGAGTTTCATTCTGTCTTTTTTAAGTAGAATTTTATCGTTTTACAGTTTCATTTTGTCTTTTTACAGTTTATTTTTGTCTTCATGGAGTTTCATTCTGTCTTTTTTAAGTTGAATTTTATCGTTTTACAGTTTCATTCTGTCTTTTTGCAGCATCATTCTGTCTTTATTGAGTTTCATTCTGTCTTTTTTGCAGCATCATTCTGTCTTTATGGAGTTTCATACTGTCTTTTTAAAGTTGAATTTTATCATTTTTCAGTTTAATTCTGTCTTTTTGCAGCATCATTCTGTCTTTATGGAGTTTCATTCTGTCTTTTTAAAGTTGAATTTTATCATTTTTCAGTTTCATTCTGTTTTTTTACAGTTTATTTTTGTCTTTATAGAGTTTAATTCTGTCTTTTGAGAGTTTAGTTTGATTATTTTTTCGATTATGTTTCATTATCTCCTCCCTCCTCCTTTCCTCTCTAAGCAAAATGAATGACACTCCAAACAAATGAAATGTAACTCTAAGCAGAGAGAATGAAGATTCATTATGTCTTTTTAGAGTTTCGTTCGATTTTTTAGATTCATTCTGTCTTTGTAGAGTTCCTCTCAATTTTTTTAAGTTTCATTTTGTCCTATTAAAGTTTTATTTTGTTTCTTTTAGAATTTCATTCTGTCTTTTTTTTAGAGAGAGAGAGGAGGTAAGAATGAAAAATACTCCAAAAAGGACAGAATGAAACTCTGTGAAATATAGAAAAAAAAACTCTATAAAGACAGAATGAAACTAGAAAGATAGAGAGAAAATGAAACTTTGAAAAAGACAGAATGATACACTAAAAAAATAGGGTGAAACTCAAAAGATAGAATGACATTCCAAACGAAATGAGAGAATGTAACTCTAGACAGAGAAAATAAGCTTTTCCTGTTTTTTTTAGTTTCATTCTGTCTTTTTAGTATTTTGACCCTACCTTTAGAGACACATTCATTCTGTCTTTTTAAAGTTTCATTCTATCTTTTAAGTTTTTTTCTTTTTTTTTTTGAAAAACAGAAAAAAATGATAATAAAATTACAGAATGAAACAATAAAATGAGATAATGAATGACTAAAAGAAGAAAATGAATGTTGAGGAAAAAACAAAATGAAAATTTTATTTCATCTTTCTTCTTTATAAATGTCTAAAAAGAAGAAATAAAATTCTATATTTGAGAGAATGAAAGTAAAAAATGAAACTCCAAAAATATATATTGAACTGACATTCTGTCTTTTTAGAGTTTTCATATGTCTCTTTCTCTCTTATCATTTTCAACCAAAATGTGAGAATGAAACTCTTAAGGAGAGAATGACTGTGTGTAAGAAAAGAGAGAATGATTGTGCAAAAAGAGAGAATAAATCCATGAAGTGAGTAAATGATACTCTAAGAAGGGGTAAAGTAACTGAAAAGAGAGAATGAATGTCTAAAAAGACAGAATGAAACTAGAAAAGAGGGACTATAATTAAAAAGACAGAATGGAAGTTTAAAAAGAGAGAATGAAATTTTAAAAAGACAGAATGAAAGTTTGAAAAGGGAAAACGAAAAGTCTGCAAAGACAGAATGAATCTATAAAGAGAGAATGAAACTAGAAAAGAGAAAATGAAACTAAAAAGAGAAAATGAAACTAAAAAGAGAGAATGAAAGCTGTAAAGGAGGAATGAAACCTGCAAAAAGATAATGAAATAAAAAAGACAGAAAATGACACTATTAAAAGAGAAAATGAAAGTTTAAAGAGGGAGAGAGAGAGAGAGAGAATGTAAATATTATTTTAGAGAAAATGAAACTTGAAAAGAGACAATGAAAGCTCAAAGGAGAGAATGAAACTAAGAAGACAGAGAATTCCGCTATAAAAAAAAAGAATGAAACTCTAAAAAGTAAGAATGTAACTCCAGAAAGAGAGAATTAAACCTCATAAGAGAGAAAATGAACACTGTAACAAGAGAGAATGAAAAAATAAAAAAATTAGAATGTAGTTAAATAGAGATAATGAAAAAAGAGAGAATGAAAGAATAAAAAGAAAATGAAAAAAGAGAGAATGAGAGAATAAAAAGAGAGATTAAAAAAACAGGATGAGAGAATAAAGAGAGAGAATGAAAGGATATAAAGAGAGAATGAACTTCAAATAAAAAAAAATGAAAGAAGCTTATTAAAAGAATAACATGTTTATGGTTCCAACGGATTGGACTCTTGCAAAAATCTGTATCTATTTGTGCCAAAGACAAAACCGATTAAAAATAAAACCCGGAGAAGAGAGAGAGAGAGAGAGTTATATGAACTTGTGAGTGTAATGGCGCAACTGATGATGATGATGATGATGACTAAATTTTGGATCTCAGCCAAGAAGGGGGCAAAAAAAGAAAAATTCCTTCGCCATGAAACGAAGGTTTAAAAAATAATTTTTTTCACCTCACGAGCCAATGATATTTACATTATTCCTTAATCGGCAATTGACCCAAATTACGCAGACAGGAAGTCAACATCTTGCTGCAATTCTCACAAATAAGCTTATTGTCAGATTACTGCAAGCTTACCAGGCAATGTTACTGCAAGCTTTAGCTTGCAGAAAGTTTACTGCAAGCTTTACAACAATATTGCTGCAAAATTTGGCTTTAAGTGTAAATTTTTCTGCAATATTAAAAGAAATGTTTGCTGCAAGCTTACAGGGTAAAAGATAGAAAAGCTTTCTCAAAGTTTGATGAAAGCTTTCTAGTAAATACTGCTGCAAGCTTTCTAAAAAATGTTGCTGCAAGCTTATGTTTACTGGAAGCTTTCTAGAAATTTTGCTGCAAGCTTACCTTACAATATTGCTGCATGCTGTAGCTTCTGAAAAGCTCACTGAAAGATTACCAGGCAATATTGCTGCAAGCTTTAAGTTTGCAGAAAGTTTACTGCAAGCTTGCACATACAAAGAGGAAGAGGGGATATAAAGAACTAATTAAAACCCAAAAGCAAAATTAAATTAAATCAAACAGAATTTTTAGAAAAAGAAAATAAGAAAAATATTTGTTGTTATTAAAAATTGTCACCTAATTAATTGTGCCTTTTTTTCCTTCTGTTACAGATTTTTTTGATCAACAACCTTGACAACCATTTCATCACTCTCAAAGCCCAAAATGCACATTGAAGTGCAAGTGGCTCTAAATTTTGTGATATCATATCTCTACAATAAACTTCCAAGACGTCGGGTGAATATATTCGGTGAGGAATTGGAGAAGGCATTGAAGGACAAATTCAAGGGCCACTGGTATCCGGAGAAGCCGTTCAAGGGCTCGGCGTTCAGATGCCTCAAGACTGGCGACCCCATAGACAGAGTGCTGGAGCGCGCGGCCAAGGAGAGTGGCGTGCCCATTCAGGACATACTCGAGAACTTGCCCGCCGAGCTGGCCGTGTGGGTCGATCCCGGCGAGGTGAGCTATCGCATCGGCGAGACGAGTGTCATTAAAATCCTCTACTCGGAGTCGGCCGATTTGCACGAGGACTCGTCGGCGGATCGCGAGGTCACCAAGACATTCAATCCCGAGGCGCAATGCTTCCGGCCAATTGAATCCGTGGGCACGTCGCTCAGTGGGCTGAGTCTGAGTCCAAAGTCGACGTCGCCATTCGCTAATTCACTGGCCAACGGTGGTGGAGGAGGGAATGGAGGGGGGAGCAATGGGAGTACGAGCAGTAATGGGAGCAACGGCTCGAATAGCAATAATCAACAGAATGGTCATGGTTCTGGTTCGTCGTCGGCTCCGTCGCCCACTCCACTGTCGAGTTCCTTTAAGAATTCACCGAGTCCGGGGCCGAGTTTTATACCGAGATCCACTGCTCCGTTGACCTTCACTACCGCCACTTTTGCACAGACGAAGTTCGGTAGCACTAAACTCAAGACGAGCAGCAAGAGGGCTAACAGGTGTGTACTAAGCTTTATGGTTGGAAAAATATGTTGAGATACGAACGGAGGGGAAATTTTTTGGTGCCAATCTGTAATTTCACTCTCACTTCCCATTTGTTTCACTCTCACTCCCCATTCACTTCTTTCCCCTCCTCCACTTCAATCTCACTTCCCATTCACTTCACTCTACCCTTTCACTTCAAGCTCACTTCCTATTCACTTCATTCCACCTCTTCACTTCACTCTCACTTTCTATTCACCTCATTCCCCTCTTCCACTTCACGTTCACTTCCCATTCACTTCATTCCCCCTTCCACATCACGTCCACTTTCCATTCACTTCATTCCCCCTTATACTTCACGTTCACTTCCCATTCACTTCATTGCCCCCTTTCAATTCACGTTTCCCTACCTTTCACTTTATTCCCCCTTCCACTTCACGTTCACTTCCTATTCAGTTCATTCCCCCTTCCACATCACGTTCACTTCCCATTTACTTCATTCCCCCTTTCGATTCACGTTCACTTCCCATTCGCTTCATTCTCCTGTCCACTTCACGTTCACTTCCCATTCACTTCATTGCCCCCTTTCAATTCACGTTTCCCTACCTTTCACTTTATTCACCCTTCCACTTCACGTTCACTTCCCATTCACTTCATTACCCCCTTCCACTTCACGTTCACTTCATTTCCCTCTTCCAATCTATTTCACGTTTCCCTCCCTTTCACTTAAGTCCCCCTTCCACTTTACGTCCACTTCCTATTTAGTTGATTCCCCCTTCCACTTCACGTTCACTTCCCATTCACTTCATTCCCCCTTTTGATTAACGTTTCCCTACCTTTCACTTCATTACCCCTTCCAATTCACGTTCACTTCCTATTCGCTTCATTCCCCAGTCCACTACACGTTCACTTCCCATTCACTTCATTACACCCTTCCACTTAACGTTCACTTCATTTCCCTCTTCCAATTGATTTCACGTTTCCCTCCCTTTCATTTAATTTCCCTTTCCACTTCACATTCACTTTATTCTACCTTCACTCTTACTGCCTTGACAGTTTATTGTCACTTTACTGAAGGGGTAGTGAAAATAAAGTGAATGAGAAATGAAATAGAATTTGAAGGGGTAGTGAAAGTAAAGCGAATGGGAAGTGAAAGTGAAAAGTATGAGTAAATGGGTAGTGAAAGTGTTTTGTGGAAAGACCATTAAGAATACTCCCGCAGGGTGACTATCTAAATTCATATTGTGGAGATGCCTTTATGGTTACTTTCACTGGGAGACTGCAAAATTAGGATTGTGAAAAGGCCATTAAGGATACTCCCGCTGGGTGACTAGCTAAATTAATATTGTGTAGAAACCTTTATGATTACTTCCGCTAGGTATCTACAAAATTATCATTGTGTAAAGACAATTAAGGATAATACCTTTAGGTGACTAGCTAAATTCGTATTGTGGAAGGACCTTGAAGGTTAATTTCGCCTTGAAGGTGAATAGTTAAATTCGCATTGTGGAAAGACCATTAAGATTGTTTTTCGATGGTTCACTAGATATTCTCCTATTGTGGTAATAGTTATGGTTATTTCTGCTGGGTGACTAGCTGAATTCGCATTGTAGAAAGACCTTTAAAGATACTATCGCTGGGAGATTAGATAAAGTCGTATTGTGGGAAGACCTTTATGGTTTTTTCTCTGGGTGACTAGTTAAATTGGTATTGTGGAAAGACCTTTCAAGATATTACCGCTGGGAGACTAGCTGAATTCGCATTGTAGAAAGACCTTTAAAGATACTATCGCTGGGAGATTAGATAAAGTCGTATTGTGGGAAGACCTTTATGGTTTTTTCTCTGGGTGACTAGTTAAATTGGTATTGTGGAAAGACCTTTCAAGATATTACCGCTGGGAGACTAGATAAATTCGTATTGTGGAAAGACCTTAAAAGATATTATCGCTGGGAGACTAGATAAATTCGTATTGTGGAAAGACCTTAAAACTTGTTTATGATGGGTGGCCAGCTATTTTCACATTGTGAATGGGGCTTAAGAGAAAAGTAAATAGGGAGTAAAAATGAAGTGAAGGGGAAGTAAGAGTGAAGTGAGAGAAGCATAAGGGGAAGTGAAAATGAAGTGAATGGGAAATAAAAATAAATTGGAAGGGGGAGTGGAAGTAAAGTGAATGGGAAGTGAGAGTGAATGGATAGTGGGAGTGAATTGTAAGGAAAGTGAATAGGAAGTGAGATTGAAGTGTAGAGGAAGTGAAAGTACAGTAGAAATAAATGGAAATTACAGAATCGCACTCCTTGTAAATTTGCAGTAATATTTCGGTAACATTTCTTCAAAATAACGAGGGAACCAAAACCGTCGGTAAGGTAGATTTCCCCACAAAATTACCACGTGAATGTCTTCCTTACCGACAATCGTTAATGTCGATAATACAGAGCCCTTTTTTCCGTCTCCTACAATTATAAGAAGAAAACATTTCTCAATACTAACAATTCTTTTTCCTATTCGCAGAATGTCGCCCACCGAATTCTCCAACTACATAAAGCAACGCGCCATTCAACAGCAGATCCACCATCACCACCATCATCCCCATCAACAGCAGCAGCAACAACAGCAACAACAACCAGGACTCCCAACATCCCAAACATCACCAAGCAGCCGCAGTCTCTCCCCAGGCGTACAAGGACACTCGGACCCAAGTGCATACTTTTTACAACACACACCAACCTACATAAACCCCACACAATTCCCACATCGCAATCTCTTTGATTCATCAGCACACAGTGCGGCCGCCGCAGCAGCCAATGGCGGCTATCTTCCAGCAGATATTTACACAAGCACCAAATTCCCCACATCCTATCTCGATCCAACGATTGGACATCAATTCTACGGTACAATAAACAGTGCAGCAACACAACAGACAAATTTGGCTGTTGGCTCCGGAAATAATGTCACTAGTGGGTCAAATTTAACACAACAACAACAGCAGCAGCAACAACAACAGCAACAACAACAACAACAACAGGATAAAACAACAAATCTAGTCGATGGTCTTAATAATTTTGGCCTTGGTTCGGTAGTCACACCATATCCGGCAAATCAATATCAACATCTTCTTGTGGCCAATTAATACTCCGCAAAACTATCAGTAGCACGAGATGTAAGCAACTCGTTTTACTCGTTTTCGGTGGTCTAATATTACTATCCTCCCACTACCCACCCCCTACCCCTTTTCCCAAGTAAGAGAAAAGCAACCAAAAAATTGTTAATTGAGAGAAAAAAAGTTTATTGTCTATGAAGGAGAGAAAGAGAGGGAATGAGTGTGAGAGTGTGTGTATGGGAGAGAGAGAAAGAGAGACTAATTGAGAGAGTGTGCGAGTGATTGTGTTTTACCTCTTTGTCCAAACAAACTCTACCTAAAAATCCCTTTGACTACCTCGATAAATAGAGACCATAAAAGAGGTCTTCCCTTGTATTCCTAAATGGCCTCGTTTTGCGAAATAACATACAATTGTTCTAAGATCGAAAAATATTGCATTCGACTCTATGGGCGCATTCACTTTTTTGTATATTTAAATCGATTATTTGATTATTTTATGATAGTGAATAGTTGAATTTTTATTGTGGAGAGAGCTTTAGGGTTGATTCCGCTGGGTTCGTGTTGTGGGGAGACCTTTATGGTTTTTTCTCTGGGTTACTAGTTAAATTGGTATTGTGGAGAGACCTTTAAGGTTAGTTTCGCTGGGTGACTAGATAAATTCCCTTTGTGGAGAGACCATTAAGGATACTACCGCTGGGTGACTAGCTAAATTCGTATTGTAGAATAACCGTTAAGGTTGTGTTTCGATGGTTGACTAGCTAGTTTCCTATTGTGGAGGTACCTTTATGATTAATTCCGCTGGGTGACTAGCAAACATTGTCATTGTGGAAAGACCATTAAGGATACTTCTCTAGGTGACTAGCTAAATTCCTTTGTGGAAAGACCATTAAGGAAACAACCCCTGGGTGACTAGCTAAATTCGCATTGTAGAATAACCGCTAAAGTTGTTTCTCAATGGTTCACTAGCTATTTTTCTATTCTGGGGATACCTTTATGGTCATTTCTGCTGGATTACTAGCATAATTCGCATTGTAGAACGACCATTAAGGATACTCCCGCTGGGTGACTAGCTAATTTTATATTGTTGAGATACCTTTACGGTTACTTCCGCTGGGTGACTAGAAAAATTTGTGTTGTGCGGAGATCCTTAAGGTTTTCTTACTGGGTGACTAGTTAAATTGGTATTGTGGAGAGACCTTGAAGGTTAATTTGCTGGGTGAATAGCTAAATTCTCATTGTAGAAAGACTATGAATGTTTTTTTCGATGGTTGACTAGCTAATTCTCCTATTGTGGTAATAATCTTTATGGTTATTTCTTCTGGGTGACTAACTAAATTCGCATTGTCGAAAGACCTTTAAGGTTACTAGCGCTGGGAGACTAGATAAATTTGTATTGTGGAAAGACCTTGAAAGTTGTTCCTGATGGGTGGCTAGCTATTTTCACATTGTGGAAATACCTTTAAGGCTACAATCGCTGTGTGATTACCTATATTTCCATTGTGGAAGTACCTTTATGGTTATTTTCTCTAGGTGACAAGCTAAAACGCATTGTGAAGAAACCTTTAAGGTTATTAACACTAAGTAACTAGCTAAATTCTTATTGTGGAGTGGCCTTTTATGATACTTCCGCTGAGTAACGATTTGATTTTATATTGTGGGGAAACCTTTAAGTTCAAAATTTTACACTTGTAAAAAAATAGAAATTTCGAATAAAAAGTCGCTTTTCAGAAGTTACTTTTCTTAAGTTCGTCTTGTAAAAAGACCTTTAAGGCCCAATACGCAAGGCAACATCCCAAATGCGACAGTAAATGCTTCATTTTTTCCACCTACCCAACCTTGCTAGAAGCAATTTTCTTAAATTTCGTCATTCAATTTTCGGGATTTGGCAAAAATGTCAAAAAACAATTCTTTCAGCAATGTTAGGTAGTTGACAAGAAAGTTGAGAATTTCCTTCAACAAGGTTGGGTAGTTGATAAAAAAAATTAAGAATTTTATTCAGCAAGGTTAAGAAGTTGACAAAAAGGTTGAGAATTTCGTTCAGCAAAGTTGGAAAGTTGACAAAAAAGTTAAAAAAAATTTCAATCAGCAGGGTTAGGAAGTTACGCTAGGAAAGTTTAGAGTTATCTTCAGCAGGGTTGGGTAGTAAAGAACAAAAATTGAGAATTTCGTTCAGCAGGGATGGAAAGTTGAAAAAAAAGTTAGAAAAATTTGAACAGCAGGGTTGGGTAGTTAAGAAGAAAAATTGAGATTTTCGTTTAGCAAGGTTGGGAAGTTAACAGAAAGAATTAAGAATTTCAAGGTTGGAAAGTTTGACAAAAAAGTTAGAATATCTTTAAGCAGGGTTGGGTAGTTAACAAAAAAAGTTAAGAATTTCGTCCAGCAGGGTTGGATAGTTAACAAGAAAATTGAGAGGGTTGAGAAGTTAACAAGAAAGTTGAGAATATCCTTCAGCAGGGCTGGGAATTTAATTTAAAAAATTGAGAATTTCGTTCAGCAGAGATGGAAAGTTGAAAATGATGGTAGAAAATTTTAATCAGCAAGGTTGGGAAGTTGGAAATATCTTTCAGCAGGGTTGGGTAGTTAATAAAAAAAGTTGAGAATTTCGATCAGCAAGGTCGGGAAGTTGCCAGGAAAGTTGAGAATATTCTTCAGCAGGGATGGGTAGGTAATAAAAAGTTAGAAAATTTTGAACAGCAGGACTGGGAATTTGCTAGGAAAGTTGGGAATATATTCCAGCAGGGTTGGGTAGTTAACAAAAAAAGTTGAGATTTTCTATCGGCAGGGTTGGGTAGTTAAAAAAAGGTAAAAATTTCTATTAGCAAGGTTGGGAAGTTTGCCAGAAAAGTTGAGAATATGCTTCAGCAGGGTTGGGTAGTTGAAAAGAAAAATTGAAAATTTGGTTCAGCAGGGGTGGGTAATTAAAAAATGTTGAGAATTTCGTCCAGCAAGGTTGGGAAGGTGACGAAAATTGAAATTTTCGTTCGGCAGGGTTGGGCAGCTAACAAAATGGTTTAAACTTTCGTTCTGCAGGGATGGGTAGTTAAAATATGTCAACCCTGCATTTTCTGCCTAAGGCTGCGTTCACAATGGAACTTTTTAGTTTCGACAGTCACAATAACATAATTTTGAACTTAATCCACAGAATTCATTGGAAAAAAACTAAAAATTTTCATTGTAGACCAGACACAAGGAAAAAGAAAGAAAACCAAACCATAAAATCGATATTAATTATTGTACATTTGTAAATATTGCCTCCTTTTTTATTTTTGTGATAAAAAGAAAATCTTTTCCTAATTTTAATACCAAATAGTAAATTAATTTTAATTTTTCAAGAGAGAGAGGGGGGAAATTAAATTACAAAAAAAAAAAAAGTGAATGAACCGCTCACATAGTCGATGAAAAATAATAAGCGAAGCCACGCACGTTATCGCATCGTCGATTCCTTTTTTCTCGAGTCGACGACTCAACGATCTCAGTTTTGGAAGAGAATTGATACCGAGTGTTATATATATATATATAAATAAAAAAAAGCATGTATATATATACCAAAAAAAAAAAAAAAAATAAGTATGTTAAACGAATGCAAAAAAGACGCGTGGTGCTCCCATTAAGCGAGTGCCCCCCGCGAAAAAAAAACAAAAAACCATCTGTCTGTATTTAAATAAGAGAGAAAAATAAAAAAAAAAAAACTCCTTCGACTATTTGCGGGCAAAAAAAATACTTCGTGGCGTTTATTTAATACAAATGGTTGGTGAGAAGATGGTTACGCGATGATGCATGGTACTTATAATCGACACTCTAGATGTATACGGTAAAAATTAAAAAAAAAAAAAAAAAAAAAAAATTGTCGAAACTCTGTCTCCATGCGCTCTGATGCGGACCAAGCGCCAAAAAATAAAAAACGCCAACCTTTGGAAACAGCGACACAGATAAAAAAAATTACCAACGTGTAATAATAATTTATTTTTTCACTGGTATAGTCGGAAAATAACGATATATCTGTAGAGAGCCTACGTATGATATAATGCAAATGCACTTACTTCGGCGAGTTTTTCCAGAACGGTAGAAACTCAGCTGAATTAAAAATTGTGTTTGGAGAAAAAAAAACCCGAAGATTGACTTGTCGAGTGACGCGCATCAAAAAAAAAAAGGAATCTTCTGTCCTAGATGAAGAAAAAAACTGAAGGTGCAATAGATGTCGCGTCCTGACAATATAAAAAGTGAATTTTCCCCCAATAAGACCATAAAAAAAAGTGCGTAAAAAAAAGTGTAGTTTAATTTAAATAAAAAAAAGAATGTTTGGATGAAAAAAAGACAGACAGGGATTCTCTAAATAATATGCGCAAAATGACTCCGAAATTATAGTCGTTTCGCGTATTTTAAACGCTTAGTTTTGTACCGTTCATAAAACTCGTCTTTGGTACGATTTTACATTTTATTTTTATAATAATGCAGTAGACGTAGAGTGGTGTGTTCGTAGTAACGTAAGTGGCGCTGTTGTACCTTTCCTTTCTTGCGCGCATAGGCGTACCTCAAGCAAGTTACATATAATTTTTGTACGATGATCGCGGAATGTGCAGATCCGATTTAATTAATAAGCCATACAAAAAATGATGAAAAAAAAACAAAACCAAAAAAAAAAAATAATAAAAAAAAAATACATTGTAATTTTTAGAAGTACCATGAAATATGTAAAAGATTATTATTATTATTATTATTATTATTATGATTATTATTTTTTTTTAATAAAACCAAAATCTTTTTTTTTTTCTTTCATATTTATATACATAGAGAAAATTATATCTGGATGTTCATTTCTTTTTCTCAAATAAAAAAACAAAAAATGAATAAATAAATAAAAGGAAAAATAAATACTACTTTTCACTTCGTATTGATATTAAATATTTTATTCTCAATGACAAGAAAAAAATGCAAAAAAAAATGAATAAAAAAAATTAATTAATTAATAAATCTTTTTATCTGGATGACAAAAAAAAAATATTTGAGCAAAGAAAATGATGAGGAAGAAAAAAAATATGAAAAAAAAATAATACAGAGTCAAATTTTATTTCGTTGAATAAATAAATAAGACATGTTAGAACAAAATAGGTTTTTTAATTTCCTTTCACTTTTCCCAAAAATGTTAATATTACGAATTTTTATATTATTGTGACTATTATTAATTTATGATTATTAATAATATTACTATTATTTTTACTATTTTTTTAGTATTTTACTATTTTTCTTTCTATTTTACTCATTTCGTCACTATTTTTACTGTTTTGTTACTATTTTTACTATTTTTACTTTTTTAAACTATTTTTGTTAATATTTTACTACTTTAGTTAGTATTTTTTATTTTTTCAATTATTTTACTATTTTTGTTACTATTTTTACTGTTATTTGCAGTTTTTAACATTTTTTTTACTATTTTTGTCACTATTTTGACTATTTTTTTACCATTTTTAATTTTTTTGATACTATTTTACTATTTTTGTCACTATTTTTACATTGCTTTTTACTATTTTCTTATTTGCTACTATTTTAATATTTTTGCTACTGTTTTTACTATTTTTGTTACTAGTTTAACTTTTTAAAAATATTTTTTTTACTATTTTACTATTTTTGTTACTATTTTTACTATTTTTGTTACTTTTTTTACTTTTTTTGTTACTATTTTTACTTTTTTAAACTATTTTTGTTACTATTTTACTACTTTAGTTACTATTTTTATTAATTATTTTACTATTTTTGTTTTTATTTTTATTATTGTTCGTAGTTTTCACCATTTTTTAACTATTTTACTATTTTTGTTAGTATTTTACTATTTTTGTCACTATTTTAACTATTATTGTTACTATTTTTACTATTTTTGTTAATATTTTTACTGTTATTTGCAGTTTTTAACATATTTTTTTACTATTTCACTAAGTCACTATTTTGACTATTTTTTTACGATTTTTAATTTTTTTGATATTATTTTACTATTTTTGGCACTATTTTTACATTGCTTTTTACTATTTTCTTATTTGCTACTATTTTAATATTTTTTCTACTGTTTTTACTATTTTTGTTACTAGTTTAACTTTTTAAAAATATTTTTTTTACTATTTTACTATTTTTGTTACTATTTTTACTATTTTTGTTACTTTTTTTACTTTTTTTGTTACTATTTTTACTTTTTTAAACTATTTTTGTTACTATTTTACTACTTTAGTTACTTTTTTTTCAATTATTTTACTATTTTTGCTATTATTTTTACTCTTATTTGTAGTTTTCACCATTTTTTAACTATTTTACTATTTTTGTTAGTATTTTACTATTTTTGTCACTATTTTAACTATTATTGTTACTATTTTTACTTTTTTTTGTTACTATTCTTACTTTTATAAACTATTTTTGTTACTATTTTACTTTTTTTTTAAACTATTTTACTATTTTTATTAGTATTTTACTATTTTTGTCACTATTTTAACTATTATTGTTACCATTTTTAATTTTTTTGTTACTATTTTACTACTCTTGTCACTATTTTTACATTCTTTTTTACTATTTTCTTATTTGTTACTATTTTAGTATTTTTGTTACTGCTTTATTATCTTTATTATTTTTGTTACCATTTAAAATTTTTTTGGTACTATTTTACTATTTTTGTCACTATTTTTACCTTGCTTTTTACTATTTTCTTATTTGTTACTATTTTAGTTACTATTTTTACATTGCTTTTTAATATTTTCTTATTTGTTACTATTTTTACTATTTTTGTTACTATTTTATTATTTGTTACTATTTTAGTTACTATTTTTACATTGCTTTTTAATATTTTCTTATTTGTTACTATTTTTACTATTTTTGTTACTATTTTATTATTTTTACTATTTTTGTTACCATTTTTAATTTTTTTGGTACTATTTTACTATTTTTGTCACTATTTTTACCTTGCTTTTTACTATTTTCTTATTTGTTACTATTTTAGTATTTTTGTTACTATTTTATTATTTTTACTATTTTTGTTACAATTTTTAATTTTTTTGGTACTATTTTAGTTACTATTTTACTATTTTTGTCACTATTTTTACATTGCTTTTTTAATATTTTCTTATTTGTTACTATTTTTACTATTTTTGTTACTATTTTATTATTTTTGATATTGCTTTACAATTTTTGTTATTAATTTATTATTATTTTACTATTTTTGTTAGTATTTTTACTATTTTTATTTTACTATTTTCGTTACTGTTTTTGTTATTTTGTTTACTATTTCTGTCACTATTTTGACTATTTTTGTTATCTTTTTTAAAATATTTTTGTTACTATTATACTATTTTTGTTACTATTTTATTATTCTTGTTATTGTTTTACAATTCTTGTTATTAATTTACTATTATTTTACTATTTTTTGTACTATTTTTACTTTTCTTTACAATTTTTGTTTTTTTTTTACTATTTTTGTTACTATTTTACTATTTTCGTTACTTTTTTGACTATTTTTGTTGTTTTTTACCATCTTTGTTACTATTTTACTATTTTTGTTACTTTTTTTTGTTTTTTTTTACTGTTTTTTAACTATTTTTGTTACTATTTTTACTATTATTGTTGTTTTTATTATTTTTGTCTATTATTGTCACAATTTTTACATTCGTTTATTACTATTTCCCTATTTGTTACTATTTTACTATTTTTAGTATTTTTGTTAATATTTTATTATTTTTGTTACTGTTTTACTATTTTTGTTATTAATTTACTATTTTTTTTACTATGTTACTATTTTTGTTACCATTTTTACTATTTTTGTAAATTATATTTCGTTATTATTGTTATAATTATTTATAAATAAATATTATTGCTTTTCGTATTTTTACTTTTCATTAACTCGGAAACATTACCACTTGCGAGAAAGTCAATGGCGCCCTCTTGGAATTAATTCAAAGGCGGGCTTTTTAAAATCTTTAAATTTATTTTTTGTTTCTAAAGGAGCAATCAGACCTCTGCAGACTGCCTGCCTGCGCAGGCAGGCAGTCTGCAAGGGTCTGAATGCTCCTTAAGAAATTAATAAATTTTATTTGTAATATTATAATAATTAAAATAAAAATTATTATTCTCTTACATACCGTCCAAATGTATAAAACAATTCTTTAGTTATTAATATTGTCATAATTATTTATAAATATTATTGTGTTTCGTATTTTTATTTTAATTTGACGTAAAATATTACCGCTTGTGAGAAAGTCAATGGCGCCCTCTGGACATTAAGTTTAACGCGGGCTTTTTGAAATTTTTTTTTTTTTCATCTCTTGTCAATTTTTTTTTAATTTTGTTATTATGTATTTTTATTAGTGAAATTTTTGGATTTATCCAGTGGCGCATTTTGGAGTTTACCGCCTGGATTCTAAAGTCAAGTTCACAGTTTGGCACAAAACTCTTCAATTGTGAAGTCAACTTTAAGCGAAAACGTAAAACCCTTCTTGTAATTTTATACTCTATGACTATCGTAATCAAAACAAAACAGTTCTGCTTTTTGACAATCGACAACAAATCTAAAGTTTTATTTAATAATAAAAAATAAAATAATAAAAATAACAATATAAATAATGCTAAGAAAATAGTAGTAATAATAATAATAAAAATAATAGTAATAATACTAGAAAAAATAGTAGAAATAAAATAAAATTGTGTAAATAAAAGTAAATAAAAATAAAATAAAATTGTTGAAATAGAAGTTAATAGAAATAAAATAAAATTGTTGAAATAAAAGTTAATAGAAAGAAAATAAATTAGTGGAAATAAAAGTAAATAAAAATAAAATAGTAGAAATAAAAGTAAATAAAAATAAAATAGTGGAAATAAAAATAAATAAAAATAAAAGTAATAATAAAAAAATAGTAGGAAAAATAAAAGTCTGAAATAGAAAATAAAAAACCACAAATGTGCCAAAAATCGAAAAACCAAATTTAAAAGAAAAACGATGCAAAATCCCAAACAAAAGAAACACTTATTTCTCTCGTTACACGACAAAAGGAAAATAATCGAAGCAGTGAACGCGGGCAAAACAAGAAATTCAATTGCAAAAGAATATAATGTTTCAATAGCATCAGTGAGTATTTTAATGAAAAAACACAAGGAAACAATTGACTCGAATAATTTGCCATTAAATGAATTGGCCTTAAAAAATCGAAAGGTAATAAAAAAAGTGAATAATGAACAATTGGAAAAAGCGGTATTGTTGTGGTACAATGAAAAAAGGGAATCAGGCGAAACAGTGACTGGCCCTTTAATTTGCGAAAAAGCACTCGCATTCAATGTGTGTCTTAATGGTCCCAAGGAATTTAAGGCCAGTAACGGTTGGTTGAATAATTTTAAAAAACGCAATGGAATTCGCAATTTTTCCCAGCAACGAATACAGGAAAATCTAGAGGCGGCCACGGATTATTGTTTGAATTTTCAAAATTTCATTGTTGATGAGGATTATAATTGGAGTTTGGTATTTAATGCTGATGAGAGTGGAATTTTTTGGAAAAATTTACCAAACAATTATGATGAGAATTCTGCAGGTATTTTTGATTGTCAACAAAAATTTTTTTTTCAATTGAATTTAAATTTTGAAACAAAAATTTTTATTTTCAGAATATAATTTTCAATTTTTACAATAGAATTGAAAATTTTTAAAAATAATTGAAATTTTGGAAGGAATTGAACAAAAATTAAATATTTTTTCCAATAGAATTGAAATTTTTTAAATAAATTTAATTTCTTAAGAAGAATTGAAATTTTAAAATAGAAAATTTGCAAAAAAATTTCAATTTAAAATATTTTCCAAATAGAATTAGAATTTTTATTTAAGTAAAATTGTGTTTTTTTAATTTAAGAATTAAATTTTTCTCCAAATGAAATTAAAATTTTCTATGTAAAATAGAAATCTCAAAATAGAATTTGAATCTTAAAAATAAAAGTGAATTTTTTTAAAAATATAGAATTTAGAAAAAAAATTGAATTTTAAAAATATAGAATTGAAACTTTAATGAAAAAGATTTAGACTATGAATTGAACTTTCAAAATAAATTTTAAATTTTTTGAATAAAATTGAAATTTCCAAAATTAAATAATAAATTGAAATTTTTATAATAAAATTGAATTTTTTAAAATAAAATTCTCAAAAAAAATTAAATTTACAAAATAGAATTGAAATTTTAATAAAGATCTAGACAATCAAAAAGAATTAAATTTAAAAAATAGATTTGTAAATTTCCGAATAGAATTGAAATTTCCTAAATAAAATATTGAGTTAAAATTTTTTATTTAAAATTCAAATTTTTTGGAACAGAATTGAAATTTCCCAAATAAAATAAAAAATCTCGAAAATGAATTGAAATTTTTGAAATTAAAAAAAATTTATAAAATGAAATTGAAATTTTTATAATAAAAGTAATTTAAATATTCAAAAAAGAATTGAAAAAATAAAATTAAAATTTTCGAAATAAATTTTAAATTTATAGAATAGAATTGATATTTCCTAAATGAAATAAAAAATCTTAAAATAGAATTTAAATTTTTTAAAATAAAATTAAATATTTTTCGACTTGGAATTGAAAATTTAAAAATAGAATTGAAAATTATAAAAGAACTGATATTTTTCGTCCACAGGAATTGAAATTTTAAAAATACAATTTAATTGTTTTCAATTCAAAGTAGAATTAAAATTTTTATAATAGAATTGCAAACTTTCGAAGTGGAATTGAAATTTTCAATCAGAAGAATTAATATTTTTCCACCACAGAATTGAAATTGTAAAAATAAAATTGAATATTTTTTGACTTGGAATTGAAAATTTAAAAATAGAATTGAAATTTTCAAAATGAAATTGAATTTTTCTCAATTTAAAATTTAAATTTTCAAAAACAGAAATAAAATTTTTTCTTATTGAATTTAAGGCAAACAGAATTGAAAATTTCTAAGAATTGAAAATTTTTAAGTAGAATTTAAAATTTAAAAATAAAATATTATTTAACGACTTGAAATTAAAATTTTGAAAAGAAAATATTATTTTTAGATTTGGAATTGAAATTTTAAAAATAGAATTGGAAATTTGAAGTAGAATTGAAATTTTAAATCAGAAGAATTCATATTTTTCTGCTGCAGAATTGAAATTTAAAAAAAAAAATTGAATTTTTATTTAAATTCAAATTAAAATTTTTAAAAACAGAAATAAAATTACTTTATAATAAATTTAAGTCAAACAGAATTGAAAATTTCTGAGTAGAATTGAAATTTTAAAAATAAATTTGAATTTTTCTTCAGATTAAAATTAAAATTTTTTAAAATAGAAAAAAAATTACTTTATAATAAATTTAAGTCAAACAGAATTGAAAATGTCGGAGTAGAATTGAAATTTTTATAATAGAATTGAATATTTTTAACTAGAATTGAAATTTTTTAAAATAAAATATTTTTAGATTTGGAATTGAAATTTTAAAAATAGAATTGAAAATTTGAAGTAAAATTGAATTTAAATCAGAAGAATTCATATTTTTCCACTGCAGAATTGAAATTTTAAAAATAAAATTGAATTTTTATTCAATTTAAAATTTTAATTTTCAAAAACAGAAATAAAATTATTTTATAATAAATTTAAGCCAAACAGAATTGAAAATTTCTAAGTAGAATTGAAAGTTTAATAATAGAATTGAATATTTTAACGTAAAATTAAAATTTTAAAAATACAATAATATTTTTAGATTTGGAATTGAAATTTTAAAAATAGAATTGAAAATTTCAAGTAGAATTAAAATTTTAAATCAGAAGAATTGATATTTTTCTGCTGCAGAATTGAAATTTTAAAAATAAAATTGAATTTTTATTCAAATTAAAATTAAAATTTTTGAAAACAGAAATAAAATTACTTTTTAATAAATTGAAGTCAAACAGAATTGAAAATTTCTAAATAGAATTGAAATTTTTATAATAGAATTGAAAATTTCCAAGTAGAATTGAAATTTTTATAATAGAATTGAATATCTTTACGTAGAATTAAAATTTTAAAAATAAAATATTATTTTTAGATTTGGAATTGAAATTTTAAAAATAGAATTGAATTTTTTAAAAGTAAAATTGAATTATTTTCAATATAGAATTCTCAAGAAGCATTTAATTTTTTTTCAGGAGATTTAACTAATTGAAATCGAAAGAATGATTGAAGAATGATTTAAATTGAAAATTTGGATTCACTTGAAAATTTAAATTCAATTTTACTTAATAAATTTAGTAAAAAATTGAGTAAAAATTAAATTTAATTGAATTAAATCAACAATAAAAAAGAAATTTTTTTATTGAAAAATTAAAAAACAATTTTTAATTTTTTAAATTAAAAAACAATTTTTAATTTTTTAAATTAAAAACAATTTTTAATTTTTTAAATAAAAAACAATTTTTAATTTTTTAAATTAAAAACAATTTTTAATTTTTTAAATAAAACCATTTTTTGTAGTTAAAAATTTCCCTTTTTTCCAGACGAAAGAGTAACAGGTTTATTTTGCTCCAACGCAGACGGAACATTCGCCCTGCCAGTGTTAATAATAGGCAAATATCCCAGGCCACGTTGTTTCAAAAATCTCCGCTACTTACCAGTCGTCTACAAAACCGAATCCACATCGTCAATGTCATCGGAAATATTTCTCGATTGGTACAAAAATCATTTCATTCTCTCGGTACAGGAAATGCAGGAAAAAACCCAGCAACACGGAAAAGTCCTCTTACTACTCGACCAGGCGAAATGTCACCCACCAAAGGAAATTTTAAATTCAGTCAATGAAAATTTTCAAGTTGAATTTTTACCCTCAAATCTCGAATCATTGGTGCAGCCAATGTCACATGTGATAAATTGCACAAAGCGAAAATACAGGAAGAAATTTGTCGAAAATTTATCTCTCGCAAGCGGTAATATTGGCGTTGAGCAATTTATAAAGGCGCACAATTTAAAGGACTGTTGCTTTCAAATTGCCAGTGCGTTTCAATCGTTGAGTCAGGAGACGCTGCAGAATGCGTGGAATAAAATTTGCGCTGTGTCAAAATTAACGGATGATAATTATGATGGGGAGGCGCTGGACGACGAAACTTTTTGGCGAATTGTACAAAGCGTTAAAGGTAAACTGTCGATATTTATTTATTTTTAATATATTTTTTATTAATAATAAATAAATAAATAAAATAAAATTCTTAAAAATTGTAAATAAAAAAAATGTTTTGAAAATTACAATTTTCTGTTTTTAAAAGTTTAAATTTTAAATTGAAAAAATTCAATTTTTTTTAAAAACGTCAATTTAAAATTTTTAAAAATTCAATTATATTTTTTAATTTTTTAATTTTATGTTAAAAAAATATCAAGTCTTTTAAAAATTTTAATTCTACTTCACAATTTTCAATTCTACTTCAAAAAAGTTCAATTCTATTTTTAAATTTTCAATTCCAAGTAGAAAAATATTTAATTTTATTTTTAAAAATTTCAATAATTCTATTTTTAGATTTTTTATTTCATTTAGGAAATTTCAATTCTATTCTATAAATTAAAAATTTATTTCAAAAATTTTAATTCTATTTTTTCAATTCTTTTTTGAATATTTAAATTACTTTTATTATAAAAATTTCAATTTCATTTTATAAATTTTTTTTTAATTTCAAAAATTTCAATTCATTTTCGAGATTTTTTATTTTATTTGGGAACTTTCAATTCTATTCCAAAAAATTTGAATTTTAAATAAAAAATTTCAACTCAATATTTTATTTAGAAAATTTCAATTCTTATTTTACAAGATTCTTATTTTATTTAAGAAATTTCAATTCTATTTTGAAAATTTCAATTCTATGGGAATAAAAATCAGAATTTTAATTAAAAAAGTACAATACAATATTGAATATTTAAATTTTACTTTCAAAATTCAATTATATTTTGTCAATTAAATTCTTAAAAATTTTAATTTGGCAGATATTCAATTTTATTTAAAAAATTTCAAATCCATTCTGCAAATTGAAATTTTAATTCGAAAATTTCAATTTTGATTCCAAATTTCAATTCTACTTTGCAGCTTTTATTTTATTGAGGAAATTTCAATTCTATTTTGAAAAATTACAATTTTATTCAGAACAAGGATTGAATTTTATTTTGTAAAAAAACAATTACATTTAGAATATATTTCAATTTTACTTTGAAAATTTCATTTCTATTTTGAAAAATTTCAATTCTTTTTTGCATATTTAAATTTCACTTAAAGAAATTCAATTTTATTTCGTCAATTTAATTCTTAAAATAATTGTAAATAAAAAAAATGTTATTTTGAAAATTACAACTTTGTTTCTGTTTTTGAATGTTTAAATTTTAAATTGAAAAAAATTCGAATTTTTTTAAAAACGTCAATTTTAAATTTAAAAAAATTCAATTATATTTTTTAATTTTTAATTTTATGTTAAAAAATATCAATTTTCCTAAAAATTTCAATTCTACTTCAAAATTTTCAATTCTACTTGAAAAAGTTCAATTCTATTGAAAAATTTTTAGTTCTTTTTAAAAATTTTCAATTCTATTTTAAATTTTAAATTTTATTTGAAATATTTCATTATTATTTTTAATATTTAAATTGAAATTGGAAATTTTAATTTTGAACTGAAAAAAGTTTCAATTTTAGTATAAAAATATAATTTTTTTATGAATTGAAATCTTTTTTGAAAATTTAAAGTTTGTTTGAAAATAAATATTCACTTTTTGAAAATTTCAATTCTACATTAAAATATTCAATTCTTTTTTTTTTCTTTTAAAACATTCAATTTTGTTTTAAAATTTCAATTCAATATAAAAAAATATCAATTCTTTTGAAATTCTAAATTCTTTTCGACAATTTAAATTTAATTTTAAAAAAATTTTGTTTCTGTTCTTAAAAGTTTAGGTTTTTTAAATTCTTTAAAAATTTTCAATTTTACTTAAAAATTTTCAATTCTTTTTGACAATTTCTATTCTACGTTAAAAAAAATATCAATTCTTTTGGAAATTTCAATTCTACTTGAAAATTTCCAATTCTTTTTGAAAATTGAAATTTAATTTTAAAAAAAATATTTTTTCTGCTTTTGAAAATTGAAATTTAATTCGAAAAAAATTGAATATTATTTTTAAAATTGAAATTATTCTATAAGGAAAAAATATTAATTCTTTAGCAATTTTTAATTCTATTTTAAATTTTTTATTTTAAAAACGTCAATTTCTAAATGAAAAATATTCAATTATATTTTTCAATTTTTAATTTTAAGTTAAAAAAGTATCAATTCTTTTTGAAATTTCAATTATATTTTAGAAAATTCAATTCTATTTGGAAATTTTCAATTTTTTTTTTGAAAATTTAAATTTAATAAATTTTAAACTAATATTATTTCTGCTTTTGAAAATTTAAATTTTAAAATGAAAAAAATTCAATTTTATTTTCAAAATTTCTATTCTTCTTTGAAATTTTCAATTCTACTTTATAAAATTCAATTCTATTCTGAAAATAAAAAATTTTTTTTCTTGTTTAAATTCAATTTAAAAAATAATTAATTCCATGTTAAAAATGAATCAATTCTTTTAAAAATTTCAATTCTTCTTCAAAATTTTCAATTCTACTTTAAAAAATGCAATTCTATTCTGAAAATGAAAAAATTTTTTTTAATGTTTAAATTTAATTTCAAAAATAATTCGTAACTAACTGGTAAATATAAAAAAAACAAAAGCAAAATAACCTTTTTTATAACTTTTTTTGTTATAAAATAATTTGAAAAAAGGTCAATCGATAATTATTCATAAATTATTAATTTTAATATTTTAATATTAAATATTTATTTATTTATTCAGAATTTCTATTTATTAATAGAAAATAATTAATAATTGTTCCCAGGTTTCGAGAATACGCAATTATCATCAATAAAAACGTGGTTAAATTCAGACAACAATGATCCTGGCTGGAAATTATATTCAGACGAGGAAATTATTGACATCGTGAGAACGGGAACTTACGAAATTATTGAAACCGAAGAAGTAAATGATGAATTTCTCCGGCAGCCAATGGAGACCGATGGTCAAATTTGCCAATCAACTGATTTTCACAAAATTCATCTCAATCCTTCAAATGAAACTTTTGAATCTGATGAAGATAACGAATTTCTCGAGGACAGAAAATTTTCCACCGAATTTATCATCAGTGAAGAGAATTTCAATAATAAAACGATGAAGAATGAGGAAAATGATGATAATAATGATCGGGAACATTTCAACGAATCGATAGAATCTGATGATGAGAATTTTAACAAATCGATGGAAACTGATGATGATGATGATAATAAAAATTTTCAAAATTCGATAGAATCGAATGATGAGGAAGATGATCAGAATTTTCATTTATCGATTGAATCGGATGATTGCGATGAATCAGTGAATTCTGCTGATGATGAAAATTTTAATAAATTGATTGATTCCGATTTTAATGAGACGAATTTTTGTGAAATGGGAAAATCGAAGGAAATTGGGGGAAAATTTGTTGAAACTATGGAATTAAATTGTGATAATGAAAATAATTTTCATTCAGTTGAAAATAATTTTCTGACTGAAGGAAATAATTTTCATTCACAGGAAAATAATTTCCAGGCTAAAGGAAATAATTTTAATTCAAAGGAAAATAATTTCGAGTCAAAGGAAAATAATTTTAATTCAAAGGAAAATAATTTCGAGTCAAGTGAAAATAATTTCGAGTCAAGTGAAAATAATTTCGAGTCAAAGGAAAATAATTTTCAGTCAAGTGAAAATAATTTCGAGTCACAAGAAAATAATTTTAATTCAATTGAAAATAATTTCAACTCGAATGAAAATATTTTTAATTCAATTGAAGAAGATAATTTTCCACCATTTGAAAGTATAGAAGAGGCTTTCAAGCACGTACACAATTGGTGTAAACAAAAAAAAGAATACACAGAAGCTGATTATCATTGTTTTCTCAAATGGGAAACATTATCACGAGATGCATTCAAAGAGTAAAAAGAAATTTATTTCTTTAAATGTGATAAATAAAATATATTTTCAATATTCATCGTAAATTCTATTTTTTTTCCCTAAAATTCTCAGATTTCTATTTTTTTCTTTTTTTACTACTTTGTTAATTAATAGTTAAATAATTTACTACTAATAGTTAATTAACATTGATAATTTATAAATTTAATAAATTTATCTTTATTTAATCTTCCTTAATTAAATTTTAATTTTTTCTTTTTTTGAAATTTTAAAAATTAAATAATATTTTTAGATTTCGAATTAAAATGTAAAAATAAACTTGGAATATTTTTCTACCTGGAATTGAAATTTTTGAAAACAAAATTAAATATTGTTAGATTTTAAATTGAAATCTTAAAAATAAAATTGAATATTTTTTTGACTTGCAATTAAAAATTTTAACAACAGAATTGAATTTTTTAAAAGTACAATAATTGAATTTTTCTTTTCAATATAGAATTCTCAAGGAGCATAAAATTTTTTCAGTATTAAAATTGAAAGATTGATTGAAGTTAAAAAATAAAAATTTATAATCTAAAAATTAAAGAATAATAAATAAAACTTTAAAAACAGTTTGAAAAAAATAAAAGTAGAGCAAAAGCGATTAAAATAAGTAAATTGTTTATTTAATAATACGAAAAATCTTAGAAATATATTTTTCACAGTCTGGAATAATACGCTATTTAAATTTATTGCTGCCAAATGGAAAAAAAAGAATTTTTTTTTTCAAAATAGCGCAATAGAAAGACAAGTTTTTTTTTTATTTTTTATATAATACGTTTTGACATATACAGTAAATTAATTCACATTTTCACCTTCTCACGCACATTTTGTAAAACTTATAAATATATTTCGTCGTATAAAAATTATTATTCTCTTTAATCTCTAAAATCGATTTTCATTTAAAATCCATTTTTCAAAATTACAATTACACATTTTATATCTCGATTTCTTACAGTTTAATTATTTTTTTTATATTTGTTTTTCTCTGTTATATTTTTGCTCTCTTTTCGTTAAGAATATAATTATATTTGTATATATATATATTATATAAAATTCCATTCACAATTAGTATACTTAATTATTCTCATATTGCAATTTTTATTTCATTATAACTATATCGTTTTAAAAATTTAAATTAAAATTAAAGTCAAAATTTAATTAAAATCAAATTTAAATTAAAATCAAATATTTAATTACAAAAAAATTTTAATTTTATTTCAATTAAAATCAAAATTTAGTTAAAAATATAATATTAATTCATTTATTTAATTAATTAATTAATTTATTTAATTGATTTTAATTTCAATTAAAATTAAAATTTAGTTAAAAATAAAACTTAAATTTAACTTGAATTAAAATCAAAATTTAATTAAAATTGAAATAAAAAATTTAATCAAAATGAAAATTTAAATTTAATTTAAATTAAAATCGAACATTAATTAAATATAAACTTTAAATTCAATTTAAAATTAAAATCAAAATTCAATTATTAAAATTAACATAAATAATTTCGTTTTCTTGTTTCATGGGATTATAACATTTAAATCTCGTCTTTATTCTAAATAATAATAATAATTGACTAATAGATAATTTTACTTTACTTTTCCTTACTTTTTTTTTCTTCAAAATAATAATCTTAAATCTACAAAGGAATAAATATAAAAATCATTTTAAGCAATATAATAAAAAAAAATCTTTAAAAATATTTATAGCCATTATAGAATATTTTTTCATATCACAAAGAAAATTACTGATTAATTACTGAATAATTCCTAATTATAAGAAAATTATTCATAAACATTGTAAAAAAAAGACTTGACAATAAAGTAAAATAAATTGATCAATATTAATAATAATCAATTCATGGAACAGTAAAAATAAACGATAAACATTTTTGCAAGCTATGATAATAAAAATAATTATTAATTAATTAAATTAATTATTAATCAATCATATAAAACCAATTATTAATTAACAAAATGACTAATTAATAAATGCATTTTTTTATTAACAGAATTACTAATCAATAAAAGTATTTTTTAATTAATTAAACTGCTAATTTAAAAAGGCAATGATTAATTAATAAAACTGCTAATTAAAAAATGCAATTATTAATTAATAGGACTACTAATTAATAAAAGCAATTACTAATTAATAAGGCTACTAATTAATAAAAAAATTATTAATTAATAAAATTAATTAATAATAACAATTCTGAATTAATAAAACGAATAATTAATAAAAGCAATTATTAATTAATAAAGCTGATAATTAATAAAAGTAATTTTTAATTAATAGGACTACTAATTAATAAACGAATTATTAATTGATAAGGCTACTAATTAATAAACAAATTATTAATTAATGAGGCTAATAATTATTAAACGAATTATTAATTAAGAAAAAAGAAATTGTAATTAACAAAAATAATTGAAAAATAATTAATTAACTAATTAATTAATAATTACATAAGTAAATAAATAAATCAATTACAAGTCCTAAAATTGTTGTAACTAAAAAAATAATGTTACAATGTGGTCGAAGTGACGGCACTAACACCATGCACCAATATCGTTGGCGGCAAATCAGCAGTCAATTCCGTAAGAAGTTGTAAATATTGTTGTTGAACGACATTTTTCCCTCCCCAGGTATTGGAGACAGGTGGCGCCGGTAAATACATAAAGATAGCAGCCGTTTGCGAGCAATGTTGTTGAATCAACTGATTACAACTGTACGAAAAAAGAAAAAGGAATAAAAATCAATTTCAATATAACATCAAATTTTCCTCAGGCAAAAAGAAATTTTTTACCATCTGTAGATAAGGCAGTTTTCTTTTTTACCAGCAGTCGAAAAAGGAAATATTTCTCTAACCATCGGTCGGTAATGTAGTTTTATCAGTAGTTAAATAAAGTCATTATATTCCTTACCTGCTAGTATCAAGCAGTTTTCTTTTTTACCAGCAGTCGATAAAGAAAATATTTTCCTAACCATCAGTCGGTAATGTGTTTAGTAAATAAAGTCACTATCTTCCTTACCAGCTAGGAAATATTTTCGCCTCCCTACTCTTTTTTCGGTAATTTTTTCGTTATAGTTAATAAACTCACTATCTTCCTTACCGACTGGGAAATAGTTTCGCCTCCCCACCCTTCGGTCGGTAATTTTTTTTATCACTAGTTAGTAATTTAAAAAATTTCCCTATCAACTAGGAAATAATTTTCCCATTCTTCCCTTCGGTCGGTAATGTATTCTTGCTCAACAGTTAAAATTAATGTCTTCCTTACCAGCCAGGGAATATTCTTTCCTACCATCAGTCGGTAATATTTTCTTTATCGACAGTTAATGAGATCAATATCTTTCTTACCAACTATTAATTTTGTCAAGAAAATAGTTTTTTTTTCTTCTTTGTTATCAGTTAATAATGTAAACACCTACCTTACCATTCGTTTATATAGGGACTTTCTAGTATTTTCTAACCTTTTCTTTCTTTTATCAAAATAGTTACCATAAAAAAAATTCCTCACGCTTTGGATATTTCTATATTCTATTTAATTCTAGAATGGTATTTTAGAAAATTTTTACCATCTGTAGATAACAAAAATCATTTCTTTTATTATCTGCTTTTGTCGATAATCTACTTGGCGGTCGATAATTATCGGCTTGAATGATAAAATCATATTCTTTTTTTCCATCCATCGGTAATTTAGTTAAGGTCGATAATTGTCGACTTGTTTACCATTGGATGATAAAATTGAATCCTGTTTTACCATCCAGTGGTAATCTACTTAGGATCAATAATTATTGAATTTTTTACCGATGGGTAGCCAAAAGCCCCACTTACCGTTGTCCCCAATTATAATTTTAAATAGTAAGAAGGTTATCTTTGAAAAGAGTCAGTCGGTAAAACAGTTTTTAACGGTAATCTACTTAAAATCAATAATTAGTAACTTTCTTACCGGTAGGTAAATAAGCCGAAGGCCGATAGGTTGCCATCAGAAGATAAAATCAAATCCTACTTTACCGACGGAAGATAACAGAAAATCCTACTTTACTACCGGCAGATAAATCAAATCCTACTTTACCATCGGAAGATAAAATCAAATCCTACTTTACCTTCGCCAAAAGTTAGAATTTCTCAATTCTTTTTGTTTTACAAAAAAAAATACAACAAATTTACAACTAAAAATACAATTTACCCAGTAAATTATTTCAATTTCTCTACAAAATAGAAACAAAAAAAAATGCTACTCACTTCAAAATGTAAGCTCGTGAAACATTACTAGGAACAACATCGGAAGAATCGTTCGATTCAAAGAGACTCGATTCTGGATCCTGTTTTGTTGGACCAACCAATGGCCGACCCTTCAGACCACCAACTTGTGCGGCCCAATTTGGTATTTTTGTTATCGACGCCGAGATTCGAAGCATGTTCAATAATTTTTTCAGTTTCAATTCATTCGAACACTTTGGCGCCTCCTCTATTGAACTCGTCGATTCGGCAACACTGAGATTTTCAGATATTTCACAATGGAAGACACGTAAATGTAAATTCTTCCAAACAGGCACCATATTAATTATGCACGCCAATTGGAGCATAAACAATGACGTTGTATCGAATGGATCCTGATCCGATGGCTGGAAAAAGTTCACTGGCCAAACGTCAATGTACTTGAAATTGGAGTTTCTGAAAATTTTTTGTTGTTGTCATTTTCGAGGTTGTTTCTTGGGAGATTTTTTAGGTTATGTTTTCGATTCTTTAAAAGTCGGTATTTTTGTATTTGAGAATTGTTAGGTTAGGTCCTTGTGTCACTGTTGGGTTATTAACGACGATAAAATTTATTATCGCGAATTCGCCAGGGATGGGACGATACAACCTAAAAATGGTTTTAAGGTGGTTCTACAGTACGAAATTAATGGTGTGACAACGCTAGTATTTTATTTTTTTTACTGCCCAACACTGCTAGGTGATAAATTTGATAATTTTCCTAATTTTTGTCATGCAAGGTTGGGTAGTTGACAAAAAAAAATTGAAAAATTGACCTACCAGGGTTGGAAAGTTGACAAAAAAGTTAAAAAATACAGTTATCAACTTCCCAACCCTGATAGTTATCAGGGTTGGGAAGTTGATAACACATGGTCCAACCTTGACTAACTTTGTTAATTTTTGTAAATTTCGTCACGCAAGGTTGGGAAATTGAAAATGTAAACTAACAGGGTTGGGAAGTTCACTAAACCTTAACTAACCTTGTTAATTTTTTTAAATTTCGTCATGCAAGGTTGGATAGTTGTCAAAAAGGTTAAAATAATGAACCAACAAGGTTGGGCAGTTGAAAAAAAGTCGAAAAATTAAACTAGCAGGGTTGGGAAGTTAACAAAGTGTGGTCCACGTTAATTATGTCACACAAGGTTGGGAAGTTGAAAATTTAAACTAACAGGGTTGGGAAGTTGAAAGAAAATCGTCACGCAAGGTTGGGAACTTAAATTTTTAACTTACAGGGTTGGGAAGTTGACAAAATCTTGTTAACTTTTAAGAATTATTTGCACTAAGGTGGGGTAGTTAAAAGTTTGAATTAACATGGTTCGGTAGTTGCTAAAAAGTTAAAAAATTAGTCTTTCAGGGTTGGGAAGTTAACAAAATCAGGTCCATGTTAGTTTTTGTAAATTTCGTCAAGCAAGGTTGGAAAGTTGAAAAAAAGTTTAAAAATTAACTCAGCAGGGTTGGGAAGTCGACAAAAGAGTTTATGGATCGGACAAGTGTCGCATTTGGGATGTCACACATATAACTATCTCTTGGCCTTAATTTAGGTTCCTGTTTACAATGGAGTTTGTAAAGGGATACCTTTAGGCTCTTGTTCACAATGGAGTTTGTAAAGAGACACCTTTAGGCTCTTGTTCACAATGGAGTTTGTAAAGGGATACCTTTAGGCTCTTGTTCACAATGGAGTTTGTAAAGGTATCTCTTTACAAACTCCATTGTAAACACGAGCCTAAAGTGAAACCAAGGGAGTAATAAACAAGCAGACTTAAATAAATAAAACCTACTAATTCTTAAAGACTATTAATTAACAAACACCTACTTTTCTCCAAAAAATTACTTACTTAACAAATTGCGATTTATCCAAAGTATGAAAATTCCTGCACAAACATAAATTCTTCTTCATTTTCAAAACATCCGAACACATCCCCACGTACTGTTCAATATCCATCGTCTTATCCTCCCCATTGCCCCTCAACGGAAAACAAGGTCCATTCGCATAAGTCCCATTCTCAAAATTCACCGTCGAATATTGGGAGACTTTGAAAAAATCCATCGGCGCATGATCGTCATAGAATCCCAAAACAATCGTATTCGGCTTCATGGCTCCCATTCCCGAAATACGCACCAAATGATGCAGACCCTCGCGAACAGTTTTCGTCACTGTCATCTCCACGAATGCCTTCACCTTCAAGTGATCAATCAAACTCAACCAATTTGGATAGTCATCAATCGTTGGATCCTGATTTTGACCGGCGAATTCGCCCACTTTCACGTGACCAATCACGTAGAGTCCACCCTTCTTGAGGTCATTCACAAAGTCGATGAGAGGACACGAGGAGCGTGGTGAGGACACCATAAGGAGGATTTGCGGTCGCCAAAATTTCACGTGATCTTTGCGTGAGTCCAACATTAGAAGGTATTTTCGTACTTGATGGAAGATTAGTGCTTGGGAAATGCTACCCCAGGCGGCGTTTTTGCTCGGTGAGAAAAGATGGAGGACAATGACGAGGACTAGGCAAATTATTATACTACTCGATGCGTAGATGCTGTTGATTGTGAACATCATTATGAGGGTTCCGAAGAGTCCGATTGTCGCCGTGTGCCATGTGAAGAAGTTAAAGGTAGGTCTGCAATAATATTTCGTCATTCAAACAAAAGTCGGTCAGGAAGTCAGTAACGATTTTTTCAAAATCGAACATTGTGAACGTCGCTTTAGTGGTGGTTTTCAGACAGGCATAATTTTAAAGCTTATTTTACATCACAAAATTAATTAGAGTCGAAGAAAAAGTCATATTGTGTACAGACCTTTAGGACCTAACTTATCTTACAATAAAAAGTTAACTTGAATTCTCCATAGACCTTAAAGGTCTCTAACCAGTTAGCTTTTTATTGTTGAGAGATCTTTAGAGCCAAAGGAAAATTCCTATTGTGGAGAGACCTTTAGAACGTAAGGGTTAACGGTCTGTTTACAATACAAACTTTATGGTCTAAATTCCTATTGTGTAGAGACCTTTAGAACGTAATGGTAAACGTAATGGTTTTTTTTGGAACGTAATGGTCTGTTTACAATACAAACTTTATGGTTCAACGAATTCCAAAATGTGAAAACCACCATAAACGATTTTTTCCATTTAGTAAATAATAAAGAAAAATTTATAGAAATGTTTGTTAATAATTACCGGAAATTGGGAGCACTTGCGAGTTCCAAGCCAAGACACGCTAAATTCGTGGCCAAATAACTTAATAAAAATAGGACAGAATTAATTTGAGCAATAGTATTCAATGAGCCAATGAGTAAAATTAACTGGACCAATGTCCATGAGGTTAGAACGGCAGCGAGTGGATTGCCCCGCCATGTGCCTTTCGTTACATAATTCAGGCCGGATCCTACAAAAAAAGGAGAGTCACAAATGACGATTTTCCACCCGCAAATTTATATTATTCGTAACCGTCTCCATAGTAGCGGTTGCCATGGTTACCAGTTCCATAGCAACGGTTGCTAGGCTACAATTTGCGTAGCAACGGTTACTATGACAACAACTTTCTATTGTGCATTGGCCTTAAAGACCTTAAGGTTGAGTCTACAATAGCACATTGAACGGAACGTAATCGTAACGTAACAATGCTAAGTTTCGTTACGTTTCTATCACTTCAAGGTCCTATTGTGGACACAACTTTAAGACCTAAGGTTGATTCCACAATAGCACTCTTGAACGTAACGAAACAATATAGTTAACATTGTTCTTTTTTACGTTACGTTTAAGAGTGGTATTGTGGACTCAGCCTGAATACAACTGCTAGCAGTTGTATTTAGGCTGAGTCCACAATAGCATTAATTTCTAACAGAAAAAGAGAACCCACCAAAAATATTGTCCTTTGCGAGAGCCTCGAGAACACGACTAGAACCAATGAGATTACTCAGTGCAGCGCTGAATGTCGCCGTTAAAATTCCCACAGCAACAAATGGCGGCCAAATATTAATCGGCATCATGTAGAGAAAATTGTTTTGCAACAAAAATTGACTCGTCGTCGCTGCCGTCAGGACGGATAATAAAATATAGCAGACAAATGTAAAACAAACAGCTGACAATGTTCCCCTCGGAATATTGTGTCCTGGATTCTTCAGCTCACCTTAAAAAATATTATTTTCTTGTTAATTTGCCATTAACAACTTACTAAAAGTAGAATAAAACAGAAAATGTTTAAGCAAAATAGAATTACGGAACCGAAATTGTAAACGTACACGGAACAATGAGTTAGAGAAGGATAGAGACACATATCCTTCTCTATCTCCTTCTTCCGCTTTGAAATTACGGTTACGTTTCTATTGTGCATTGGCCTTGAAGACCTTAAGGTTGAGTACACAATAGCACTCTTGAACGGAACCTAATCGTAACGTAACAACGCTAAGTGTATTGTTTCGTTACGTTAACGTTATGTTTAAGGTGCTATTGTGGACAAAACTTTAAGGCCTAAGGTTGAGTTTACAATAACACTCTAGAACGGAACGAAAATGTAACGAAACAATATTCTTAGCATTGTTTCGTTACGTTCACGTTCAGTTTATGGTGCTATTGTGGAAACAATTTTAAGGCTTAAAGGTTAGTCCACAATAGCATTCTTGAACGTAACGAAAACGATACGAAACAATAGCTATTGTGGACTAGGCCACAACTGCTTTGCCTTAACGTCGTTCGCGAACGCAAACCATGAGTTAGAAAAGGACAAGGATATATTTGTGTCCTTTTCTCTCCCATATGTCTCGTTCGTAAACGACTTTCGCGAAGTTATTATAAACTGGCCTTAAAGTAGAAACAACAGAACTAACCACTCATGTTGGCACCGGCCATAATTCCCGTGACGCCACTGAAAAGAACGCCGAAAACACTTGCAAAATCGGACATAACCCCACCACTTGAATAATCTGCGCTGTAATTTGAGTATAAATTCTGGACCAGAGTTGAAGAGAGCAAACCTGTGTAGGTACCATTAAGGAGATACGTTTCATTGCGCACCAAATTATTCGCTTCCGGAATTAATACCTAAATTTTCATACAAGAAAAGACGGGAATTAATAGTTTTCTACATAAAGGGTCGTCCACACGTTACGTTACACTTTACGTCTACGTCTATCCTTCTCTAACACATTCTTTCGTTTGCGTTTCTTCTTCTCTCACTTTCTTTACGTCTGCGATTCCGTTTACGTTTCCAAATTAAGGTTGAGTCCACAATAGATACTCATAGTTAGAGAAGGATAGAAATATACAAGTGTTCTTCTCTCACTTATTCTTTACATCTGTGTTTTTGTCTACGTTTTAAATTTTTAAATTAAGGTCGAGTTTACAATAGAGACTTAAAAAACTGAATTGTAAAACTTAAGAGTGAGTAAGAAAAGGATAGACCTATATATCTGTCTTTCTCTCACTCATTATTTACGTCTATGATTCCATTTACCTTACGGAAGTATTTTTAAGCTGTTTCTACAATAGAAGGCTTTTTCCATTGTAGCCTCGGTCAAAAATTCGTTTCTAAGGCTGCGTCCACAATAGGCTAGTAGTTTTACTTTTCCTATTGCGTTTCCGTTTCAAATTTTCAAATTAAGGTCGAGCTTACAATAGAGACTTAAAAAAGCAATGGTAAAACTTAGCATTGAGTAAAAATAAAAAAAATCGTTTCTAAGGCCGCATCTACAATAGGCGAGTGGTTTTACCTTTTCATATTGCGTTTTCGTTTTAAATTTTCAAATTAAGGTCGAGTTTACAATAGAGACTCAAAGAAAAAACAATCGTAGAACTTAACATTGAGTGAGAGAAGGATACATTCCGAATTAAGGGCGAGTTTACAATAGAGACGTTTAGGTTAAAAAAACAATCAGACGCAACGTTGTGAATGACCCTTAAGTTACTAAAATTCGCTGAAATCGTTAAAAAAAATTTTTTTTTCTTTACCTCCATTGGTCCTTTAACGAGGAAACTGATGACCACACTGACGAGGCAAATACAGACTGTCGCTAAAATTGCAACACTCGTCTTTGCGAACATTGAGGCGCCAATTAAACACACGAGTAAATTTGTCGTGTTCAATATTGTGCAGTACAAAAAACGCCACCATCTACCATCGGGAATGAGTCCAGCGCTGCCAACAAGATAACCAGAGGGCCCAAAATTCTCCACCAGACCCTCAGCACAACCTGATATGCACAATGCACTCGAAACAATGTTCGCCATAAAGAACAGTGTTCCAATCGAACCACCAAATTCCGGTCCCAATGTTCTACTAATCATGACTGTTTTATTATTTTTGCGTTAAAGAAAAAGTTTCATTCAAAAATGGTTTTTTATTACTTTACAGGCAAATCTTTAGGCTGATTCTACAGCAGAAACTTTAAAGTTATGTTGACGCTTTACTCACGTCTTACGGATAAATCTTTAGGCTGTTTCTACAATAGAGACTTTTAGGAGCTTTTGACGCTTTACTGACGCCTTACGGACAAATTTTTAGGCTGTTTCTACAATAGAGACTTTTAAGTACTTTTGACGCTTTACTGACGCCTTACGGACAAATGTTTAGGCTATTTCTACAATAGAGACTTTTAGGTAATGTTGACGCTTTACTGACGCCTTACGGCTGTTTCTACAATAGAAATTTTTAATTACTGTTGACGCTTTAATGACGTCTTAGGGACAAATTTTTAGGCTGATTTTACAGTAGAAACTTTAAATATCTTTAGGCTGTTTTTACAGTTGGAACTTTAAGGCTTAGGCTGATTTTACAGTAGAAACTTTAAATATCTTTAGGCTGTATTTACAGTTGAAACTTTAAGGTTCAGGCTGATTTTACAGTAGAAACTTTAAATCTTTAAGCTGTTTCTACAGTTGAAAATTTAAAGTTTTTTTTGACGCTGTACGTCAGTAAAACAGAAACAGCCTAACGATTTGTCCGTAAGGCTGACGCCTTACGAAAAAATCTTTAGGCTGTTTCTACAGTAGAAACTTTTAATTAAAATTCATCGCTTTACTAGTGCCTTATGAAACAATTTTTATACCGATTCTACAATAGAACTTTTTTTTCCATAGTAGCCACGGACAAAAATTTGTTTCTAAGGCCGTCTCCACAGCAATAAAGGTTTGGTGATTTTTGTGTTTAAGGATACAATAGGCTCCGCCTCCCTCGACAGCGCCATTTGTTGAAATTGCACAAACGGATGCGACAGTAAATAATAAAATTCCGTAAGCTATTATAAACTGAAGGAGAGTTACTAAAAGTCCTGCATTTCCGACAATGTATCCTAGAATAAAATATGTTTTTGTTAATTTGCTAATTAGTTGTTACCTAATTTAAAAAATTCAGAAAGAACTAAAAAATAATCAAAGAAAACTAAAAAAATATTTAGAGAAACAAAAAAATAATCGGAAAAAACTGAAAATTAATTATAAAAACAAAAATATTGTTGGAAAAAACTTAAAAATACTGGGATAAAACCAAAAAATAATCAGAAAAAACTAAAAAATAATCAGAAAAAAATAATCGTAAAAAACTAAAAAATAATTAGAAAAAACATTTTTTAATATAAATAAATAAAACGAAAAATTTACTAATATGAAAAAGAGTTTCTAGAATTTTTAAAATAGTAATTTTCTTTAATTTATAATATCAATTCAAATAGAAATAATAAAAGTTCACAAAATTTAAAAGATTTAAAAAGTTAAAAAAAAAAAAAGAAAAAAAATGTTTGCTTTAGTATGACAGAAAATAAAAATACAGGAATAAAAACATTCGTAATTTGTGAACTCGCATGATTCATGCAATTATCATTTGGCTTCGAAAGATTAAACTCTATCTTTTATTAGAAAAAAAAATGTATATCAACTTTTTTTTCACATTTGTTAAATGAACAAAAGAAAGTAAAAAAAAAAATTAGAGAGGGAAAAAAATAAAAAAAAATAGCGAGGAAAAAAATTTAAAAATAGAATAGCGTGAGAAGAATTTACAAAAAAAATAGCGAGAAAAAGAGTTTAAAAATAGAGAGGGGGGGGGGGGGAATTTCGAAAAAATAGCGTCAAAAAAACTAAAAAAAATTTAGCGAAAGTAAAAAAAATCAAAAAAAAAGTAGAAAAGAGAAAAATAAGAGAATAGCGTCGAAAAAAATAGCGGGGGTGAATATTAAAAAAGAGTGGGAGGGGGGAGGATTAAAAAAAATAAAAATTTTAGCGAGAGTAAAAAAGATAGTTTGGCAAAAATTAAACAAAAAAGTAGAAAAGGAAGAAAAATTATAAAATAGCGTCGAAAAAAAAGCGAGGGTAAAAATTAAAAAAGAGGGTGGGGGGGGGTTAAAAAATAGGGTCAGAAAAACTGAAAAAAAATTTAGCAAAAGTAAAAAAAATAGTTTGGGAAAAATTTTTTAAAAAAGTAGAAAAGGGAGAAAAATAAAATAGCGTCGAAAAAATAGCGATAGTAAAAATTCAAAAAGAGGGGGGGGGGATGAAAAAAATAGCATCAAAAAAACTAAAAAAAAATTAGGTAGAGTAAAAATTACAAAAAAAAAATAGCGAGGGAAAAATTAAAAAAAGTAGAAAGAAGGGAAAATAAGAAAAATAGCGTCGAAAAAAATATAGCGAGGGTAAAAATTTTTAAAAAATTTTTAAAAAATTAGGGAGGGAGGGAGAAAAATTAGAAGAATAGCGACGAGAAAAATAAAGAAAAATAGCAAGGGTAGAAATTACAAAAAAAATCAAGAAAAAAAAAATTTTATTAAATGGGGAGGGGGTAAAATTAAAAAAAAAACAACAATAAGCGAAAAAATAAACGAAAAATAGCGACAGACGAATTAAAAAAAAATAAAATAGCGAGGGGAAAACAAAAAGAAAAAATAATAGGGAGGAGGAGAATGAAAAGAAAGAAAAAATATTATTCTTACCCATTCGAATAAAAATCAAGGCACTAAACATTGATAGTGTAACGGGACTAAAAACACCAGCAAATGTGCCCAAAGTTCGTGCACTTTCAGTGCCCAAACTACTGAATTCAACATAACCATCGCTTCCATGATTTGGAATTTTATCACTGCTCGTCAAATTTCTAATCATTCGCAAAAAGCGACTTTGCCTTTTAATTAACGGATTCTTCTCGCCCGTCACTTGAACATTCACCGAATCAGCATTCGTCGAACCATATTCCGGAGCAATCATTTTTTCCCCCCTTTTTATTCTCGTATACTTCCACTCACAATTATTACTTCTTTCAATTTCTATCAACTTCTTTTTCACTTTTTTTAATTTCTTTTAACCTTTTCTTTCACTTCTTTCAATTTATTTTTTCACTTCTCTCAACTTCTTCTTTCTTTTCTTTCAATTTATTTTTTTACTTCTTTTAACTTCTTCTTTCTTTTCTTTCAAACTATTCTTCTTTCACTTCTTTGAAACACAATAGAAAAATTATCAAAATACTCAAAGAAAAAAAATATACTCAATATTTGCAAAAGTCCAAATTAATTCTCCTTTTAGAATAAAAAGAAAAAAGGAAAATTTCGTCACGAATTATCAAAATTAATGAAAATTAAAAAATGTTTACTTTCCTCAGACATCACGAAACAAATAACATTTCTCTCTTTAGTATATAGAAAATATAACCTCTATTTTTCACGCAAGAAAGAATTAATTGATTTGTGAAAAATGATTATTTTTGCCATTCGAATGCAATTAGTGGGGAAAAAAGGGGGTGGTGAGGGGGAGGGGTGGGGGAGAAAAGTGGGAAAAACTAATGCGACAGTAATTTCCGAGAGTGAATAAGAGAAAAATTATGTCATGAATGATTATAATACTGTCAAACGTCAACTCGTCAACTTGTACACAAAAGTGACACACAAACAATAGTTTCGCGCAGGGTTGGGTTGGTAAAACAGGAAACTATGCGGAATTTACCGAATTTTACGATCTTTTACGTTATAACAATTTTTATACTAAAGAGAAGAGGGGTGTTGTTTCTGGACAAAAATTACTCCATTTTGATTGGTTGTCCATGAGAACAGAAAGAATTTCTATTCGCACAAGCGAAATTGTATTATTTTTTTCTTTGTGAATTTCTTCCTTACCGACGTGATTATTCAAAAAAAAATATTTTAAAAAAATATTAAATATTAAATAAAATAATCAAAAAAAATGTTTAAACAAAATAATATGTTTGGAAAATAAAATAATAAACACACCAGGTATGGGTAGTTGATAAAACTAATTATATTTAACGAAAAAAGACGTCAGGGATGGGAAATTAACAAAGAACGATAGGAAATGACTGACTGGAAAATTGAAAAGTTCTACCTTACCACACTTCGATATGTTCAAGAGATTTATCAATTGTGCAACAGATGGCAGAGCATGTACCGTTTATCGTTTCTAGGACTAAAAATTATTAAAATTTGATAATAATTAATCTTCGGGTTTTTTAATATATAAATTAGATTATTTTTTATTTTTATTTTTTTTATTTTTTTATTTTATTGTTCATAATTATTAATTTATTATTTTTATTATTATTATATTTTGGACTTCACACTCGACAATTTATTTAAAAAAAAATAACAGAAAATAAGTAACGAATTTTATTATTCATGCGAAAGAATTTAATATTTATAAAAATAATTTAATTCTTGAGAAGAATTTTATTTATTTTATTTTTATTTATTTATTTTTATTTTATTTTTAAATAATTGATTTTTTTCGACCAATAATTTTATGCAAATTCTAATTTAAATAATTGAATTCCTGTGTTTAATTTTATTACATTTTTTTTGAAAATAATTGAATACCTAAGAAAGCATTTTATTATTTATGAAAATAATTTAATTCCTCCGAACGATTTTATTAGAATTTTTTTAAATAATTGAATTTTCAAAAAAAAAATTTTTTACTTTTAAAAATAATTAAATTTTTGCGAAAAATATTGTTATTTATGAAAATAATTGAATTTTGCAAAGAATTTTATTAAATTCCCTTAAAATAATTGAATTTTCGGGAATCATTTTGTTTATTTATTTTTAATAATTGAATTTCTAAGAAGAATTTTATTTTTTATGAAAATAATTGAATTCTAGGGAAGAATTTTATTAAAATCTATAAAAGAATAATAATTGAATTATTTCAAAAGAATTTAATTAAAATTCTATTTAAAATAATTGATTTCTTTCGAAGAATTTTATTAAAATTAAAAATATTTGAAAATAATTGAATTCCAATCATAAATTCTAATATTTTTTGTAAATAATTGAATTTTTCCAAAGAATTTCAAAAAAACATTTTTTTTAAATAATTAATTTTTTCGACAAATTGCAATTAAATTTTTCAGAATAATTACACATTTTTCGAGCAATTCCTGTAAAATTGTAGGTATTAAAAATAATTGAAATTAATAAATTTGAAAATTGCTAGGAATTTTATTGAAATTTTCAAAAATAATTGAATTCCTGAAAAAATTTTAATATTTATGAAAATAATTGAATTATTGCAAAAAATTTTATTAAAATGTTTAAATGGAATTGAATTTCTGTGAATAATTATGTTATTTTTTAAAATAATTAAATTTTGCAAAGAATTGTATTAAAATATTTTAAAAAAATTGGATTTCTATGAAAAACTTTGTTTTTTCTTAAAATAATTTAATTTTGAAATGAATTTTATTAAAATATTTGAAAAGAATTGAATTCCTGTGAAAAATTTTATTTTTTTTTTAAAGTAATTGAATTTTGCAAAGAATTGTATTAAAATATTTAAATAGAATTGGATTTCTGTGAAAAATTTTATTATTTTTGAAAATAATTGAATTTTGCAAAGAATTGTATTAAAATATTTTTAAAAATTTGGATTTCTATGAAAAACTTTGTTTTTTCTTAAAATAATTGAATTTTGAAATGAATTTTATTAAAAAATTTGAAAAGAATTGAATTTCTGTAAAAATTTTGTTATTTTCGAAAATAATTGAATTCTTCATAAGAATTTTATAAACATTGTTTTCAATAATTAATTTTTTCGAAATATAATAAATAATTATGAAAATTTTATTTTAAATAATAATTGTATTCTTATGGAAGACTTTAGTTGTGAAAATAATTGAATTTTTCGATTAATTAATTAAAAATATTATTTAAAATAATTGAAATTCTTTGATGAGTTTTATTATTTATGAAATAAAGTAATAAATAAAAGTCTTCCACTAGGGTTAAAAATGATAAATTAATACTTATATGAATAAAAAAAAATAATAGTAAATAAATAAAATAAAACAATTAATTATTTTTATTTAAAATAAAAATAAATAAATCTTTTCTATTTTCTTGTTTTGTTTTTGTAGAATAATTGGAAAAAAGGCAATTGACCCTTATAATATCGCAGACTAGACTCGTCATCATTGGTTCGCCACCCCCTTCTCGAAACAATCTACAATTTCCGGTGTGTCGCGTCTGTGATTCATATTCTGATATGTCGATATCAAATTTTTTTTCTTCCCCTTTTTATATATATATTTTTTATTTTCTTTCTCCATGAAATGCGAAGAAAAGAAAAATTCTTCCTATCCTTATATATTTTCCTCTTTTTATTCAATTTTGATTCAATAACAAATCATTGTTACTCAAAAAATTAAAAAAAAAGAATTTTAATCGTAAATAACCCTTTGCCTACCCTGACTTATCCCCACTCTAGCTATTTTGGTACAAAAACAAAAAATTCTTCAAAAATTAACAAAAGCTACTTAGTTAATTCGAATTTAATTGAATCAAATTGAATCGTTTTGAATCGAATTGAATTGAATCGATTCGAATTAAATAGATTCGAATTGAATTGAATCGATTCGAATTAAATAGATTCGAATTGAATTGAATCGAATTAAATCGTTTCGAATTGAAAAGTTTTAAATCAAACTTAATCGATTCGAATTAAATTCAAACGAATTAAATCGTTTTGAATTGATTTGAATCGAATTGAATAGTTTTGAATTGATTTGAATTGAATTGTTCAAATTAAACTGATTCGATCAAATCGAATTGAATTTAATTAAATCTTCTCGAATTGAATCGATTCAAATTACGTCGTTTCGAATTGAATTGAATCGTATTGAATCGAATTAAATCGTCCCGAATTAAAACGTTTCGAATCGAACTGAATCGTTTCGAATCGAACTGAATCGAGTCGAATTGAATTGAATCGGTTCGCATTTAATTGAATCAAATTGAATACATAGTTTTTAATTGATTTAAATTTTAAATGGAATTGAATTGTTCGAAATGAACTGTATTTATTCGAATTCAATTGAATCCAATAGAATCCAATTGTATCGTTTCAAATCGAATTGAATTGAATCGTCTCAAATTGAATCGATTCAAATTAAATCGTTTCAAATTGAATTGAATCAAATTAAATCGTTTCGAATCGAATTTAATCGGTTCGAATTGAATTGAATTAAATCGAATTAAATCGTTTCCAAATGTATCGTTTCGAATTGAATAGTTACGAAATAATTTAATCGACTTGAGTCGTTTCGAATTTATTTTAATTGAATTAAATCGAATTAAATCGTTTCAAAATGTATCGTTTCGAGTTGAATTGATTCGAATTTAAATGAATCGCATTGAATCGATTCTAATTTAAATGAATCAAATTGAATCGTTTCGAATTGAATTGAATCGGTTCGAATTGAATTGAATTGAATCGAATTAAAGTTAGGGTTAATTTTTTCCTCACACCCCAATTCATTATATTTTTAACTGATTCAAATTTGGAGATTCATATTTAGAAAGTAGGCTTAAGGTTAAAATAAGGTGTTAAGGGTTAAGATTCAGATTTCGATAGTACGGTTAGGGTTAATTTAGGGGGTTAACGGGGTTTAGGCTTAATTCTCTCAACCTCACAATGAAATATTTCTATATCTGCATATCGTGGGGTGTACAATTCTAATATCGAGTTTATATGGTTTCATTATGATTTATGGATGAGTATAAAATTAATGAGTGTGACATTTACAATTAGATGAGCGTCCAGGCATAAATCTGCATCTCGTTAATGTGAACATTTATATATGTGTGCATAATCTACGTTTGGGTTGACTGCGTCAGTTGTAATAGAGATGTACATTGAAGTGAATGAAACATACAGCAAAACGGAGAGATAGTTACCCTCTGATACCTCTTTACGGCCGATGGATAATAAAATATTTTATTAAATTCATTCTTTCACCTTCTTTTTTTCCTTCTTTATTGAGTCTCTCTTGATTTTTATTTCTGAATTCATTCCGAGTCAATTTAATTGGATTCAATTCAATTTGATTCAATTTGATTCAATTCAATTCGAACCGATTCAATTCGATTTGAAACGATTCAATTTGATTCAATCCAATTGGATTCAATTGAATTCGAACCGATTCAATTCAATTTGATTCAATTGAATTCGAACCGATTCAATTTGATTCAATTCAATTTGTTTTAATTGGATTCAATTCAATTCTATTCGAACCGATTCAATTCCATTTGAAACGATTCAATTTGATTCAATTCAATTGGATTCAATTGGATTAAATTCAATTGAATTCGAACCAATTCAATTCGATTTGAAACGATTCAATTTGATTCAATTCAATTTGATTCAATTGGATCCAATTCAATTCGAACCGATTCAATTCAATTCAAACCGATTCAATTCGATTTGAAACGATTCAATTTGATTCAATTCAATTTGTTTTAATTGGATTCAATTCAATTCTATTCGAACCGATTCAATTCCATTTGAAACGATTCAATTTGATTCAATTGGATTCAATTCAATTCGAACCGATTCAATTCGATATGAAACGATTCAATTTGATTCAATT